GCAAAGGGGGAAAAGAACTATCACAGTAGGGTAAACTGACCATACGGTGGGCAACCAGTCTCAAGGGTTAGTCCAATGTAAAGGAGGGTTGGTTGTCCTTGTGGCTGTTTTTCAATAGGAAGGAACAAGTAACACTAGAAAGGAATGCGGGGAAGTTGGGCGGAAGGGTGGATTGGTTGGATCTGAGAATGTTTTCTCTTGAGGCCAGCCTATTCTCAGGCTGAGGATGAATAAAAATTCAGGAGCCTGGAGAAAGCAGAGAAGTTTAACTAAGGTTAGTGTAAGAAGTATTTTGTTCTAGTTCATCAGTGGGGAGAAGTAGTTCAGCTCATCACTTAGGAGGAAAGGAACGGAAATTTGACGTATCTGGGGCAATGGAGCCCTTGTGGTATAGTGGATTATAAATTAGGCTGCTACCTATGAGGTCTGAAGTTCAAATCCCCCAGCACTCTGTGGGAGGGAGATGAGGCTTTCTATTCCTATAGAGCTACCCTCTCAGAAACCCACAGGGCAGTGAGCCACAATGGCAGTGACTTTGGAGTTTGGAGGATCATGATGAAGCCCTAGTGGAATAGGAGTGAAGTGCTCGGATGCAATAAATTCAGTTTATTTTTTGTTTTTGTTGGTGGTTATGATGGTGTTTTGCTGCTTGTAGAGTCCCTGGGTCATGCAACCAGTTCATGCTCTTGGGTACTCACCAAAAGATGGAAGGTTTGAATCCACTCAGAGGCACCTCAGAAGAATGGTCTGGAGAGCTATTTACTAAACATCAACTACTGAAGCCCCTATGGAGCACACTTCAGTTCCACTCATGGGACCACCATGAATTGGAATCAACTCAGCAGCAACTAAACTGTAATAAACACCTTTTGGGGTTTCTGCCAAACTCACAATGATACTCTCTCTCTCTTTTTTTTATGGAACGCTTCACAAATTTGCATGCATTCTTGTACAGGGGCCATGCTAATCTCTCTGTATGGTTCCAATTTTAGATACCTTCCTTTTTGGGTATCATCGCCACCCATGCAAGTACCACATGAGCCACCTCCCTGTATAGTTGACTGAAGCAGAAGTGGGCACATAACAATTCTGTGCCACGAGTTCGGGGGTATTTGAATTGATGCTCATAGAGAATAAGATTAGAAATCGTTCATACGCGTCCACGGCAGAATTCTGGAAGGAATGTCCTTAAATCCTTAATGCGGAGGTACCTGTGGCTGACATGGTGTAAGCCCTTCCCAAAGAGAGGTCATTCAAAACTCCACCAAAGCCCAGAAGTAACCCAGGAACCATTCACCACTGTTTCTGTCACTTGCAACCTTGCTGTAGCTCCATGGGGTTGGAACCATGTCTGTCTTGTTCTTTGTGGTCCCTCAATACCTTGCGTAAACCTGCTCCAAAAAAGACTCAAAATGTACTTGGCAAATTAACAGATAAGGTCTGAACTAATGCGAGGTTCAGAACTAATCGTTGCTCAGGCCCCTAAGGTGGCCTCCTTGTTAGCAGGGAACTAGAGTGGGAATCAGAATAGAAAACCTGTCCCTATTGTCTTGGATGGGGTGGGGACCAGCTTTTGGTAGAGAGGCCATTGGGGCATCAAGACCATGCAGCATGAAAGGTAGAGAATGTTCTCAGAGATAGCAGGGCAGTGAGGCCCCACGACATGAATTCAAGACCACGGTGAACCAGCCCAACCCACCACACCTCTTGTTCTTACAGCACAGTTCCGGAGCGCACATACTCTCCACAGGGGGGACCCAGAGCGCAGCCAACCTGGATTTTGAAAGCTTCCTTGCAAATTACATCTTAACAGCTTTGTTCCTTCACATGAGAAGAAGCTCAGCATAATTTTTACTCATTGCTAAGCCAATTAAATCTATCTCCTGGAAGTTCAAGCAGTGCCATCTTCAAAGGGAAGTCAGCCAAGTTTCTGAGAGCCAAAAAGCCAGATGACCAATACACCAGTGGTCAATTTGCTGACTGGTACAGTTTCTGAATGAATGCTTAACTAAAATGACCAATTTATTTATTTTTACTTTTAAAAAATCATTTTATTGGGGCTCATACAACTCTTATCACAATCCATACATATGTCAATTGTGTAAAGCAAACTTGTACATTCATTGCCCTCATCATTCTCAAAAAAAACATTTGCTTTCCGCTTGGGCTCTTGGAATCAGCTCATTTTTCATTTTTTTCCTCCCTCCCTGCTCCCCCCTCCCTCATGAACCCTTGATAATTTATAAAGTATTATTATTTTATCATATCTTACACTGCCTGATGTCTCCCTTCACCCACTTTTCTTTTGTAAAATGACCAATTTATAAAGTCAACAGCAATGCCTATCAGATGAAATGACTTCGTGAGCTTTGAAAGATTTATGTGATACTGCAGTTGACTGGTTTTCATTTTGTCTTCAGAGAAAGCAAAGTATTTTCGTTTCATCAAAAGCTAAGGGTGGTTTGGCTTTCCTTTGGATATATTTCCTTATGAATATATTAATGAGAGGTATGTTCTTGAATACAGATATTATTTTTGATTACATGAATATTATGCCACCCAGTCTCCTCTTTCTGTCCTCATCTTGCCTCTTCTCCCACCCCATCGCTCAGTGCCTCCCTGAAAACCAGTTACTAGAAATGTCACAAGGAGTCCTCGTGGCACTGTTGAGTAAGCACTGGCATGGTAGCTTCCAGGTTGGTGGTTCAAACTTGCTGGCTACTCCACGCTGTCTGCTTCCTCAAAGATCTGCAGTCTCAGAAGCCCCATATAGGGGCCACTATGAGCAGGAATCAACTCAATGGGCATGGGTATAACTTCATGAAAATTGCCGAAAACAATGTTTAAAAATTTCATCCAATATGAATTGTTGTAAACCTTGTAATTAGTACCAATTTTCAGTAATCAGTAAACTTGGTACATCTGGCAAATAGGTCATTCTGGGAATTGGCTTTACGCGAATCAGCCTTAAGGCTGTAAAAGAAACCTGAAAGGGTGAGCTTTGCTTATCCAAAGTTGTGATCTCTTGTCAGTCTTTCCGTATGAAGGATTTGTTTTAATATCTTAGGCAGAAAGCTTGGCTTCAGCTGCATTTTGTGCACACAACCAGTCATGTGTTTTGCCTGCATGTGCTGGTGCTGAGTTATCTCCACACCAGAATCCACTGCTTTTGATACATTCACACAGTCAATTCACACTGTCAAGAGTAGGAGGAACAGGTTGATACAGTGGAAAACAAGCAGATTGCAGAAGCGGATCTTAGAGCAATTCCTTAGCCTTCTGCATTTCAATTTGTCTATTTGAGAAAACAAGGAGATCACCTTCCTGGGGTTGATATAAAGGTTAAACTAGGTAGCACACACATAGTATAGCCTCGTTATAGTTAAACGACATATGGGAGCGTCTCCTGGGTATCTGACATCGGCAGGCACCAAAAACATTATATAAAATGATGCCTGGGCCTTAACTGCCGTGGTTAGGTTTTGTGTCAACTTGTTGGTGACCATAATCCTTAGTAGTGTGGCAGTAAGGCTTCATTCATAAGATGAAGGTCACACAGCCTGATGATGTCTCTCTGGGGGTGTGGCCTATTCAATAGCTCTAAATAGACGGTGGAAAACTGGCTATCTCTTTGTCCTCCTGCTGGCCTGGATCCTGTGTCCAGTCCCTTGGGACTTGGTCATCACCCTGGCGCGTTGGCCCAGGAGCTGCACAAGTCCAGACGAACTCCACCTCAGCATCTGAGCCACAGACCGGAGACAGACTGTAGGGCTGGCCTGTGGTACAGCTGCATGGGCCACTCGCTTTATATACATTAAAAAAAAATATTTTTATTGTAAATTAGGTGAGGCATTACACTTCTATTGACAAAACTTTTGAAGAGCTCTCAGACATAAAATGAACCACTGCTCAGTCCTCTGACAGCGTCACAAGTGCTATGTTTGAGCCCATTACGTTTCTTTCTGGCACATCTATTTCACTGGTTGGGTTCTCCGGAAAGTGTGGCCTAACACACTAATCATTTGCATTTATTTTTTGAGTTCTTTTCAGACTCAAATGAGGTCTTTTTGACCCCAAAGTCAGCTCTTGACCGCTTCTCTGTACTGCTTTCCTGAATGAGGTTCACCAATATAAGTAAGGGGCGTTTTAAATGTTTTTGGATCCTGAGGGATCTTGATATGAAATTCATAGGTCTTCTGGACAATTGTTTCATGACCTAAAGACAAACCAGCTGCAGCTTCTAAAGCTAAGATAAACATCTCTTAAACTCGTCTGATTTTGAACTTTTGGAGGTGCAAAAGAGGGGGCCCACGCAGCACTAGCATTCATGCTTGGGCTTGCTTTCCCTGCGTACATATACACAAATAGACATACACATGGATCTTTCTAAAAACACTTACAACCTGGCTAGAGACCCAAGAGAAACCCTATAGCAAATATATTAAGAGTTGTCAGTAAATCTGAATATATCTTCTCAGTCCAAGACACTCCAAAAGGTAGATATAAAACAAATCACTGGACAGTGCAGTTTCAAACATCATATTTAGGTACGTAAAAAGATCTCATTTTAAAAGATCATGCAAGCAAGGAACACAAGATACAAATTACTGGCTTGTACAAGCGCTCCCATTTGCTACACATGTACAGTTTAGCATCAAGTTTTAAAATATAAATTACAATCAGATTGGGATATAAACAATGTTCTCATGCTTTTGTTAGCTTTACGTAGGAAGTATGACTATAAAAGTTCATGGTAACTTTTAGCAAGCACAACTGAACTCACAGGTAAGAAGAGGCCACAGATTTATTCTATGTCAGCTATTTTACTTACCAGCATAGGTTTTTTTTTTTTTAAACATTTTATTAGGGGCTCATACAACTGTTATCCCAATCCATACACACATCAATTGTGTAAAGCATATTTGTACATCGTTTCTCAAACATTTTCTCTCCACTTAAACCCCCGGCATTAGGTCCTCATTTTTCCAGCATAGGTTTTTAAGAATGGCTACCATCTCAGGGATAGGTGTTTGTGTGTGTGTGTGTGTGTGTGTATTTCTAAAAACAAATCTTTGTCTTTTGGAGAAAATATGGTACAAGGCAGGGTTTTGATTCTAGCTCCCTCGCATAGCTAAATATGTGACCTTTCAATATACTTAAACTTGCTGCACCTCAATTTTAAAAGACAAAGGACTTTAGGATTGAAAAAAGAAGGAAGTTTAAGCTACTCGATTTCCTACTCTAAGACATGCATGAGTAAGAATAATAAGGCAGAATTTCCAGGGTGGTGGAAACACTGGTTCTGGAGAAACTTAGAGGCTCAGAAGAGAGGTGTTTTGAGAAGTGGTGACCACAGAGGGACAACTGTCCTGTTTCTCAAGAGACCCCTTTTAGGGAATATTTATCTGCAAATGATGTGCAACAGTGCCATCCAACACCATTCCAGGAAAGTCCAAGCGTTCTAGCTAATTGTTCCAGTGAAACTCTACCAACATGTCCCTTCAGTTGCTACTTAGAACTGAACTTGAATTGCAAGCAGCCGGAAGCTCTCAAGTTTCCTGAGGAGCAAGAGAGTTGTGTCCAGTTCTGATTCCCTTGGAAATCCTCTGCTTTCCACTTAGAGTACAATTTCTCTGCTGACCTCACCATCTCCTGGTCCTTCTGGCGGTGCATAAGAACTTCCCAAACAATCCACAGCCACGACGACTATTGTTTTGACTTCAGAAAGTCCAGGTACCTGGCAACACACAGGCCTTCACCCTGTGTTACCTTGCAGGACACCCTCAGCACTACTCTGTTACAACCTCTCAAAAACTCCTTTAGGAGTGAATGCGCAGAATTTTCTTGAAGGTCTTCTTGAAATTCTCATTGCACAAAGGGTAGATCAGGGGGTTCAATGTGGAGTTGACATAACCCAGCCAGATGGTGAACATGTGCACGTAATCATTGCAGCATTTCTCGCAGAAGGCAACGACCATGAAGAAGATGAAGTAAGGGATCCAGCAAAGGATGAAGGCAGCCATGATAAAACCCAATTGTTTGGCTGCCTTCCATTCTCGGTTCATGTGCAACCCGGACACATACTGTCTTGAATGTGAGCGAAACCTCTTCCATGTGAGCTTGATATAGTCCAGGCCTGTGGTGGACTCACTTCCTGTTCTGCCTTTCCCAGACGCTGGCTCAGTGGGGGTGTCAGAGTCTGTCCGAGAGAAGGACTGGCTATCCACCATGGTCTGATCCTCGGATGGCTCACCAGCTTCGTGTGTGTTCGGGACCTCCTCGTCTAGCTCAAGCGGACTCTGGCTAATAGCTGCATAACCACTGCCATTCCCTTCCCCCACTAGGTGCGTCTGTACCATGTTGAGTGGCAAGCACTCAAGGACCTTGGCTACTTCTCCATCCTCCTCTTGGGTGCAGCCAGTTGGGGATTTGCTCTCTTCTGCATCTTGAGATAGTGGCTTTGCGACGGGTCCATCACTGGCAACTTTCGGCTTCCTTTTTAGAACCTCCAAGGAAGACCTCTTCCCTGGTTTCTTGGCACCCACCTTGGGATTCTCTTGCTTTAAACTAGTTTCAAAGAAGGCTGGGAGGGATCCATTGCTGAACTGCCGGTGCTGACAATGTTGCCGTACAGCTTTGTAGATCTTGGCGTAGAACCAGAGCATGAGCAAGGTGGGCAGGTAGAAGTTGATGATGGCAGTCATAATCTTGAACCAGGTGACATTGTAGAAGTCTGTCTCGCACTTGTCCTCCTGGCACCGGGCATCCTCTGGCCGGAAGTGATGCCAGCCTAAAATGGGGATAATCCACAGGAAGGCAAGGAACCAGGCACCCACGATGGTGGCCAACGCTCGGGTCTTGGTGCGATACCTCAGGTACCGGAGGGGCTGCTGGACAGAGCGGTAACGGTCAATGCACAAGATGAAGACACTAAAAATGGATGCTGTGCTGGCCACGTAGTCCATGGAGAGCCAAAAGAGGCAGAGAGGCCGTCCCAGGGACCACTTGGTCATGATGAGGTAGAGGATGTTCATGGGCATGACGACTGCTCCCACCATCAAGTCTGCCACCGAGAGGCTGACAATGTACAGGTTACCCACGGTGTGCAGCGTCCGCTCAATCCGGACGGCGTACAAGACCAGCAAGTTGAGGCCCACTGTGACCAAGGAGATGGTGCTCAGGACCACCACCAGGGGCATCAGTTGGGGGGTGGCCATGGTAGTCTTGTTCCCCGGACACATCTTCTCTCTTACGATGCAGGAGGAATTGGCAAAGGTCATCAACACAATAGCGGCCTCTGGATCCAGCTCACTCCCTGGGGAGAAAGACACAAAGACTCAGATCAGGGATTTGAGGGTGAGAAGCAGCGCTGAGTGTATCACTCTAGGGTTGTACATTTGATGGCACTGCTGCTGACCGATGCGGTAGCCACAGTCCCCCTTCCCTTTATTCATCCATGTATTCGTTACCTCACTTGGTGACAGTTTTGTTCATGGGATTGTTCTAGGTGTTGGGGGATTCACCAACCAACAGACAAAAAGCCTCTGGCCTGATGGGGCCTACAGTTAAATGAAGCATCGGGTTAAAAAAAAAACAAACCAAACCAAACAAGACAAATGGTTTGTGCAATTCTGATTTTCCACATGTTCTGGAAAGGTGGGATGCATCACAATCAGTCTAAACTGAAAAATGGCAAGAAATTGATCTAGAAGCAGGAGCCCTAGTGGTACAGGGGTTAAGAACGTATGTGCTCCATGAAGCCTGAACCCTCCAACTGCTTTGTAGGAGAAAGACGGACAGACAGCCTCGGAAACCCTATGGGGAAGGCCTGCTTTGTTCCCAGAATCGACTCCATAGCAATGGGTTGGTTTGGGTTGGTCTAGGACTGGGCATGAGGCACAACTGGGGTCAATGAAATAGAAGTGGCAGTCTGATGATGGGGAGAGGGCCCTTCCCCTCTGATAAAGAATCAAAAGAAGGGATCATTTCACACTAGTCCCCCTCTCCTTGCTGGGAAGTGAGAAACCGGACAGTCCGGGGCTAGTGGCAGCCATTCGGGGACCACGAGGGAGATGCCAACAGACTCACGGAGACACAAACACAGACGCCTGCTATCGCTGAGCTGCTACAGCAGCCCTGGAGTCCCATTGCTCTGGACTTGTTACGGAAAAGTAGACATCTTTTTTGTTTAAATCACTGTTAGGGGAGTTTTTCTTGCAACTAAAACCACCTTTAACTGACATGAAGAAGGTTACAAGGGGATGTACCAGGGTTACACAAGGCATGCAATATGTGTAGTATTCGCCTCTAGAATATTGGTTCTGACATGGGAAAAGGGTTATGCTACTTGAAAAACATGTGAATCGTGTTATTTTTTAGTTATCATAAACAAAAAGGGTGGGTTTTTTTTTTCAGAACACAAAGTATATAAAGTAATGAGTAACAAAACCTCCTTAACTAGTCAGACTAGAAAAACGGTTTTCATTCTTGGCTAACTGGTGATCCTCAGCTGAGGTATGTGACAATTTTTATTGTGACTACCCCCCCCTCCCAATATATATGTCTGAATCTGAATCCACAGACCTGTCTAGGTGATCTTGTTGGGGAAAAAGGGTCTCTGTGAGTATAATTAACCTACAGATCTTGAGATGAATTCATTCACTATACCCTAATTCCAGGAGCAAGTAATTATTCTTCTTAGAGAAAGGCCAAGAGAGATTTCAGGCAGAGCAAGAGGAGAAAGTGTAGATGCCTATATACCTACAGAAGAAAACAATGTGCAAACAAAGGCAGAGAACAGAGCAATGCATGCGGCCACAAGGCAGGTAAGCCAACAACAGTCTTCAGAGACTACAAGAAACGTGAAAAAGAATCTCTCCTACAGCCTCTGGTGTGCAGCCCTGGCAACACCTTGATTTCAGACTCCTCGTCTCCAGAACTGTCAGAGAAGACTGCTGTTGAAAGTCACCCAGTTTGTGGTAAATTATACAATTGCTGTTGTTATGGCTGTTGGGTGCCATTGGACTGGCTTCGACAGAACAAGCTATGACCTGGTCCTGGGCCATCCTCACAATCACCACTGTGTTTTGAGCCCATTGTTGCAGCCCCGGTGTCAGTCCACGTCACCGAGGGCGTCCTCTCTTTTGCTGATTCTCTGTCAATCATGATGTCCTTCTGTAATGATGGGGCCCTCCTGACAATTTGTCCAGAGTATGCGAGAAAAAGCCGAGGTCCCTCACTAGGAAGTATGGTTGTAACTCTTCCAGGATAGACGGTCACGATTCTTCACCAACACTCTAATTCAAGTGTATCAAACCCTCCCCAGGCTTCCTTGTTCGTCGTCCAATTTCCTTGTGCATTTGAGGTGACTGAAAACATCGTGGCTTAGGTCCTTAAAGCCCCTTTGTCCTCAAAGCCACATCTTTGCCCTTGAAAACTTTGAAGAGGTGTTTTTTTATGTGTTGTTTGTTTTTACCAACCATCTTCTCAGCTGCTAAACATTCTCTTTGCATTATTAGGGGGTCCAAGTTTAAAGAAGCGAACTATGAATTTCACAATTATTCCACACAAAAATGACATACACCATGATGTTTTTATTTTGGAGATTTTAAGGACTTTTTTTCTAATTCTTCCTTTTAAAATTTTTGTTTTTGCAATTCTGAAGAGGTCTTTTGAATCAGATTTGCATAACACAATATGTGACCTGATTTCTTGACTGTTATTTTCATGGATGTTGATAGTGAACCTGCCAGGGAGTCAGAATAGGGATTAAGGGAGGTTGTCTCCCCAAATGCCTGCACAGGGCCACAATAAAGGGGCTGCAGGGAAATCAGGCACCCATTAGACAGCTGTAGAAAAATCCAAACAGCACTGGAAGACTAGGCCCACCTAAGCGCAGGTGAAACAACCTAGCCACCACCGAGGCCAATGGTTCTCCACCCTCCTCATGCCGCAACCCTTTCATACAGTTCCTCATGTGGTGGTGACCCCAACCATAACATTATTTTCATTGCTACTCCATCACTGTCATTTTGCTACTGTTAGGTATCGGGCGACCCCTGTGAAAGGGTCATTCGATCACCCAAAGGGGGTCACAACCCACAGGTTGAGAACCCTGACCTAGGCACATGACACCACACAGGTGTGCCTAAACTCCGCCAATAAGGTCTGCCTATACCTTCAACACGCCTCCACAGCCAGTGGGGCCACAGCACACAGCGGTCAGGCTGCGGCCCTTTTTCCTGTGCTCTGGCTCAGGTGCACACTGCAGGTGGAGGGTGAGATGATGTTTAGGTGCGGATGCGCCCGTGCCCACGTGCCCCCTAGAGCCTTCTCGGGGCGCCCCCTTTGGCCCCCAGGACTTCCTGGCTCTGCAAGAGTGGTTGCTGTGCTCCTGTTCTTGGATTCTTTCCACGTGGTTTTTTTTTTTTGTTTTTTTTTGCATTCAGTCTGGAACTCCTGTGTGGTCCCGTGCAGCCCCGTATGCGTTCCTGAAAGAGCATGTACCTTTTGAGACGGTAATTCCCCGAAACGTCCTTTTCCTCATAAAAGTCACTTGAATTACACACGTGCTTCTGCCCCATGAATTCTTCCAGCGTTGCGAAGCAAGAACCGAGGTATCCCAATCCAGAAACTAACAAATCCAAGTAAAACGAAATCCTCATTCACGTCAACCTTTTCTCCACGATGTTGTCCAGTGGTCCAGTTGTGGAGATCTTTGGTTTTTGGACATGAGGGTGGAATCCACACTGAAGGCTGTGGTCTTTGAGCTTCATCAGCAAGTGCTTCAAGTCCTCTTGGCTTTCAGCAAGCAAGGTTGTGTCATCCGTATTTCGAAGGTTGCTAATAAGCCTTCCTCCAATCCTAATGTCATGTTCTTCCTATAGCCCATCTTATCCAATCATCTGCTCAGCACATCGATGGACTGAGGACGGTGAAAGGATGCAACCTTGGTATGCATCTTTCCTGACTTTAAACCACGCACGATTCCCTTGACTACCTCTTGCTCTATGTACAAGTTCTGCACGAGCGCAATGAAATGTTCTGGAATTCCCATTCTTCACAAAGTTATCCATTCTTTGTTATGATCCACACAGACAAATGCCTTTATACAGTCAATGAAACACAAATTAACACCTGTCTGGTGCTCTCTGCTTTCCGCCCAGATCCATCTGATATCAGCTACGATATCCCTCCTTCCAGGCTCTCTCCTGAATCTGGTCTGAATTTCTGGGAGCTCCCTGTCCACGGACGTCTGCAGCAACTGTTTTAACATTATCTTCAGCAAAACTTTACTTGAATGTGATTTTAATGATATTTTCTGGTAATTTTCACATTCTGTTGGGTCACTTTTTTTTTTTGGAATAGGCACAAATCTGGATTTTTTTCCAGTTAGCTGGCCAGATAGCTGTCTGCCAAATTTCTTGGCATAGATGAGTGAGTGCTTCCAGTGCTGGATCCGTTTGTTGAAACATTTCAATTGGTATCCCATCAGTTCCTGGAGCCTTGTTTTTTCATGAATATTGGATAGGAGGTAAGAGTGGGTATTAAAATTCTGGCAGAGTTAGATTTTTATATCCATTCAAAAGTGGGATGAGTTTAAAGAAAAGTTGTGAAATACTAAAGAAAATGTAAATTTTCCTTGATGATTTAACAAAAACTAATTGTATCTGGCTTTGTATTCATATAAAAATCGTGTTTGTTCTAATTCTAATGTGGCAGATAACGTTTATATAATTTTTTTTAATGGTGAAAACCAATACCAGAAGGTACTTGGCTTTTGTGGAAGGCACCCTTGAGGTAGCTGAGTTGGCAAAGCACCATTTGGACAGTACTGGGGTCGCCCCGGCCCTGCCACCAATTTTCAAATGACCTCTAGGCTTTTGTTTTCTCTTGAGTCAAAGGTGTAGCAAGGAGGAGGAGATGAGCTCGGTATCGTCTACATCTTTGTTGCAGGTATGTGTCGATGTGCTCCTCTAACTCTGATTTGTCATGGTCACAGTACATCCAGACTTCGCTGCCTGCACCTCCTCTGCCACGGTCAATAGCATCACTTTCTCGTCCTGCTTCTCAGTGTCCATGGGTACCCAAAGCTCTGCCCTTTGCCCTATCGTCTCTGCGTTTAGCTTTAGTGGGTTTATCCATGCATCCTCCAATACCCAACCATCACTTCTTCCAGTCCTTTATCATCCATCTTTATCTCCATTATTATATCCAGTCTAATACCTTGTCGCTTTATCTCACCCTTAACCAAGTCTAAACCCTTGGAATTGCCCAGAGCCACCTTGTAAAGGAAGAAAGCAAGCTATACGCGAT